ATCTGTACTTGGGTTAGTTTATCATTGTGTAACACATCCCATGAATTTGTGTTATCACCTGGTGTCATTTCTACAGCCCAACACAGCTTTTCTTCCACTCAGCCCTTTGTGGAGTTAGCAAATACATTTCTATGTCATGATTCCAACAATACAATTACATATGTATGTTCATATCATGAAGCTGATTTTCAAATTAGTTAAGAGAAGAAAATAAGAAGAAATACATATTCATCTTATAATTACATTTGCTGCTGCTTGTGTGTGTGCGCACATGTCTGTGTGTGTCTGTGTATGTGAGTGTGCATGTGTATGCGTGCATGCATGTGCACATGTGTGTGCATTTGACTTGTATAGATTCATTTACTTTCAGTTTAAATAACTCCCTTTACTATTTCTTATAAGGCAAGTCTGCAAGCAAAAAAATTCTTAGTTTTTGGAGAACATTTTTATTTCTCTTTCGTTTTCAGTGATGGCTTTGCTACATGCAGGGTGCTTGGCTGTGGAGTCTAAGAAATTTCTTAGAGCACTCGGAATGGGCTTTGAGCACTCTGTGGCTGTGGCTTTATTCTGGTTGGTTTCTGGTCATGTCCCTTTGATGACAGAGTGATGTTATGGTATCACAAATCACACTGAGTTAATCCCTTATTTAAGACTTACCCAGGCTCCTCTTTACTAGAGAGGAAACAGGGATCTTCCTAGAAAATGGTCGGCCGCCATGGTCTACTACTGCCCTGCTTGTCTTGGCCTACACTTCTCCTTTGTCCTGCGTTCTCATGTTGAACCCTGTGATTCTCCCCACACTCAGTCTATTTCTTGTCCCAGCGTGTTGGCTTCAATTGCTCTCTCTGCCTGGAAGTTACCTGCCCCCCTGGGAAACTGCTACTCAGCTATCAAAGGGGAGGGCAGTCATTACTTCCTCTGAGAAGTCTTTCCTGATACTTTGCTAGACCTGGCTGATTCCCCTTTGTTTCTGCTCCCTGAAAGCTCCATAGTCTCCCATGAGGCCTCTCTTGGCACTTGTATTTCTGTTAATCATTTATCTATAGACCTGCTCTGCCTACTCTGGGCTGGAAGACCTGTGGAGAGTTGGTTAATAATTAGCCCAATATAAACTGAGTCTTATTAGGTGACAAACATTTCCCATTTTTATCATTCAATCCTGTAACTCTGCGAAGTAGGTGCAATTTCTGCATCTATTTTGCAGACAGAGAGAGATTACCTGACCCTTGCTGGTAGACTTGAGATGAATGCTGGGCCCCCTTACTCCTTTTCTCTCTTTGCTCATCCTGTTTTTGCCATGCTGGGGATTGAACTCAGGGCCTCACACTTGCTAGGGAAGTGTTCTACTTCTGAGCTCCATCCATAGCCCTCCTGCCCACACCCTTCACCAGGAAATTCTGTGCCTTCTTTGAAGTATCAAAATTTCAGTACAGAGGCAGAAACACATTTGCACACAGTAACCCTTGGTTGAATGTGGCAATTTGATAAAAAGCTTTAAGACATTACTAAGCAATTTTAATTCTACTTTATTATTACTACTTTTGTTCCCTGTTATTTATTTCTCTATAGTAGCTAACCATAAAATCTTTAAATAAAAATACCTTACAGTATTACTAGAACATCTAGTTGGTAGAATGTGGGAGATGTGTCCTACTTTATAGCAATGATGCCATAGTCTGTCTGCAGAGATGGATTATTCCAGAAACCCCAACGTGAGTGAAAAGGGTGGGGGGCTGTAGATATGCAAATTAGAAACCATCAACTATCTCAAAGGATGATGGAGATAAACTGCATCCCCCACCAGTGGGAACCCCTAACACAGTCACTGAGTTGTTCTTAGTGGATGAAGGGAAACACTGAAGAGGAGAAATTAGCTGTCGATAGTGGAAGAAATACAAAGAAAGAAAAACTGATCAAATTATTAGAGCCAATTAGAAGAAGGGAAGGAATAAAAGTAATCTGATGTCTGAGGAAGCAGCCCTGGCTGGCCAAGTTTAATGTGTCACTGGTTTAATATGTCATATGTGTAGCACAAGTCATCAACATGTCACTTGGTGATGTACGTCACAGCAGGCCAAGTCTCCTTTGAGATTTCATGTTGTGACTCTGTGTGTGCCACTCCCCTGTAAGTTAGTATTGTGTGACTGGTCTCAAGTTAGTCTTCAGTCCCCTGTAGAGGAAATTCTTCAACTGTTTTTGTATGCACTTTATTTACGGAAACTGGGCCCAAATCCTAGGAACTTGTGGAGTCGTTTCCTGACAAGAAGCATGTTTTAATTTTGTTTCTGTCACAGGCCGAATCATCAGGAAGACCAAGACAAAACATGACAAATGATCAGGGCAGGTAAGATCAACCATTCATGGAGGCTAACCAGGTTCTGTGCCTTTTAGTGTGGCTTTGTGCTTAGCTGTCCCCTTTGCCCTTTGCTCGTTCCTCCTACATTTTTTCCTTTTTCCGTTTAGAAGAAAAGGGGGTTGACTGAGTTCAATCATGAGGTAACCACGAGAATGGAAACCACATTTTAAGAATACGGGGGCAAAATGTTAGAAGAAACTTGTGTCCCAACGACAGACCCACGATTCCAGCTATAAATCTGTTAAACTTCAGCTGTTTTATATGCACCAAAAGGAAACCCTTAGGTATTGCAGCTACAGTTATTTCTGGATGTGTGCTATTAGCAGCTGACCACAATTTCTAACCAACATAGGGTTTCACATGACAGATGCATAATATGTGGGACCTTGTGTGCAGAGTTCTGGGGATTTTACCCATAGGGCTGTAGCAATAGCTTTCTCTAAACTTTTCAGTTATAGGTCAGGGTTTTTAAAATTTAAATTCTTTAGTACACATGGCAGAGCATTAAGTTGAGAATTCCTTTCATGGAAAGGAGTTCAGTCCACTGTCAGGGGCTTTTAGCGTTTAGAAAGGAAATTCCCTTTGATTAGCTCTTTGACTGGATTGCTGCTCAGATGAATATTGAGGTTAAAGCAGTCACTTGGCAGTGATCACATATTTTAAAGCACCATGAGAGTTCTGCTGTTACTGAAGTTTTGCTTTTTGAGTTCTGGGCCCTGTGCTGGGTGCCTGTATGCATCACATCCCCTAACACCCCAGGAAGGTGATTTCCCTTCCTGGCTAGCAAAATGAGCTCATGGATTTGAGTTAATGGCCCCAGACCAACTTCACAATGAACCTTCTTTATCTGGATTACTGAATACTGTTCACTGGGCTGGTGAGGTGGCTCAGCAGGTAAAGACATCTACCACAAGCCTGAGAACCTAAGTTCAATCTCCAGAACCCACATGGTGGAAGGAGAGAAGCGACTCTGACAAGCCATCCCTTGACTTCTATACATGCACCACGGTACACGTGCCACCACCCCAAATAAATGTGAAAAAATAAAGGCTCTTCCTTAATAGACATTCACAAAGATCCAGTTGGAAAAGTACAGTATTCCAATATCATTAAAACCAGAGACTGTTTCCCTCCCCAACCTCTAATGTATAGAAAATTTCAAGCTGATGCCCTCATTAAGCTTCCATTCAGCCATACTTTACTGAATATTCTAGTAGGTGAGACTAAGGATCAAGCAACAGAGAGGAGAAATCGTGAGACTGCAGATCATCCCCCTCCAGGGGAGATCAGTCTGTGAACACTCTGAGAAATGAATTGAAACAGTCTTCACATACCTTCCCCCATACTGCCCATCCTTGTACTCATACAGACCGTCTCATTGACTGGAAATCCACAATGGAAATCAGGTTCCTCACCCACCATCCTACCAGCCTCTGTCAGCACTGTGATTGTCTTAAAGACAGCCCAAAGAAAACCATACTCTAACCAGGAGATACCTCCATAGACAAATTTCAACACAATGTTTCAGATAGAAAGTTTTGAGAGAAAGATAGCTGGCTTAGAAGTTTAAATGCTGGACTCGAAGCCATAACTCTTGAGAGTACAAGGCTCTTTTGGCAATGCTTCCGGGCTCTTGGGGGTGCTGACAAGAGGCAATAGGGCCTATGTTTGTTTGGAACTGTTTCCATAAAAAAAAAAAAAAAAAAAAAAAAATTCAAAAAAAAAAAAAAAAAAAAAACTCATGAAGTGCATGTGTGCTCTAGTGTGTTAGTTTCCTATGTCCAAATTAAAGATGATAATGTCAGTCGGTGGGAGAAGATAGTAAATATTTTTATCAATTTCTTTTATTCTGTATAAGTGGTTATTTAAAAGAGATGATGGGCAAAGTTGGGTGTTTGCTTGCTTTATTCCAGAGCCCTATCACGGACATAAGGTATTTGGCATACCACCTGTTTAGATCTGGTTTTGCCTCTCTTTTGAAGTTCAAGGAAATAGGCAACAGCAAAGAGAGAACGGAAGCAGAAGAGGGAGTTCAGAGGCACTGGGGGTCTTTGAAGGTACTTGGCAGGGAGCTTACATCATTTTCCAACATCAATCAACTAAGGGTAGAAAGAACCTTAGCAGGTGAGCTGGGTGTGGCCCTAGGCACAGTGACTGGATGACAGGCCAGACCTTGTGTAGATTTGCTTATTATAAACCCCTGAAGGACATGGGAATCATGTGCAGTTCCCTTTGAATGGGAAACACCTTCTTGTATCAGTTTGGCTGAAAGGACTTAACAATAAAGCCTTTCCTTTCAACAGAACTTTCTTCTGAAGAACAGCACATTTGAGACCAAATCCATTTTGGCCCCAACAGTGGAGTCCATTTCCCCTCAAACAATTCCTATTGGACAGTGACAAACTTGGGGACACCACCTTCACTCTTTGAGGCCACAGGGGCCCAGTTAGTGTGTCCATTGAAATAACAGGATGCTTGCCATCCTAGAGACCGAAAAAGGGTTTCTTGAGTGGTTCTATATTGTAAAGACAATCTGGTAACAGGTCAATAGGCCTGTTGCCAAGTTGCTTGTGTTAGTTTTTGCAAAAGTTTTGTTTTCTTTCTTCCCATCAAACACATGTAGCAAATAAGGGGAAAGCCATACCTGTAGTATTCATCTCCCACAAAGAAAAGGGTCTTCTGAGGCTCCTTGAGGTAGACAGCAGCATCTATTCGCTGCACATGCCTTGGGAACCCAAAGTCATAGATGGTCCGAGGAGGACCTTGCATCTGGAACCCTCGTGTTATCCAGTAGTGGGGACCTGGAAACAAAAGTCGGAGTTGACAGCAATTCTATGACACTTAGCAATACACTTCACTCATGAAGATTTCTATACAGATCTTAAATAGGGCTAGTTCATGTGCATGTAAATAGCTAGTGACCCACATGTTGCACACAATGGACATGCCAAGCAATGCCTGCAAGTGCAATAATAACAGCTCGACTAACATACATACAACTGACAAATTTCTAATTGGATAAGGCCCGGTCCTAGGGGTGTAACACACATCTGGTGCTGTAGACCAGGCCAAGGTCCTGTGTCGAGAAAGGCTACAGGCCCTAGTGGGAAAGCCATTATAAGTATACTGTTTAATGAATATAGTACTACTGGGATATCTTCTAGGCATTTGTATTTACATTCATGTTTGTTTAGATGTGTCTGCTTCCTTCCATTTGTCTTTATAGTAGAAGAATCACCACTGAGATAGATCAATGGCCATGGCTTGAAGACGAATAATGGGGAGGCCCAAGAAGTCACTATCTTGCCATCATATAAGCGAGATTGTCCTACATCTGTCACCCCCTCCAAGGCTCAGGGACCTTAGTGGAAGATTGGTGGAAAGATTATAAGAGCTGGAGGAAGGGGTGGAGTGTGTCCTGAGGGGCACTTGTTCCTCGGACAGGCAGGGCCTGCTGCAGAGAATTGGCTGTGGAGAGTTAGCTACAGAGAGGGAGCTGCGGAGAGTTAGCCATGGAGGGAGGAGCATTGGCGCCATCTTGGCAGCAGAGACTTGGAAAAAATGGCCTTAGTGTCTTGCCCACGTGGACTAGAGAGGGGCCATTTACCGACCTGGGACCTGGGGGAGACTGCGGCCCACAAGGTGTGGGCGAAAGCTAATGGCGACTGTGGGTGGAGTGCAGAAGTGATTTGAAATGCAGCAGACTTCAAACTTCCTGGAAGTGACACTGAATTTATACCGTGAGAAAGCAATAACATTGATACAATTGTGTCTCATGTTTAACACCTTTGTTTTTTCAAGATAACCTTTTGTTCATAATCCCCTCTCACCTTTGTAGACCCATAATTCAGGAGCAAATGATATGTAATTGCTATGGTTTTCACTTAAATTGGCAACAGTCTTCTACCCTTAGCCCTGAGCAAATATATAAGCAAAAACTAAGTTATTGCTTTTTTGGATAACTTCAACTGGCTAGCTGTTGTTTGGACACATGTTCAAGACTCGTATTACTCTAATCACTATGCAGAGGAAAAATGAAGTCTCATGGCAGTTGGATACCTTCTCAAAGCTACTCAAATAGTAAAGGGCTGGAGCCAGAGATTGGAAGCTGGTGGGCGCATATCCTGAAGTCACAGGGGCTCCTTTCCTGAGCATGACTTTGCAAAAAGGGTTTTGATAGATGCTAATGGATCTCAATAGAATTCTAAACAGGGGGCAGGGCTTTTTAAGCCCCCTAGCCATGGTCACGGAGCATGATGCCTACTAAACTCAAAAGGCTGGTTCTGAGAACAGTCAGAGCCACTGTTATTCCTGCCATAGCTACAGCAGTGTTGAGTGACATTTTGTAAAGAACCTGAGAAAGAGCAACTGAGATCTGCCCCAAGATCACTGAGTTAACACTGTGGGAGCTAGAGAGGCAAACAGATGGAGCACTGAGTCCCTGTGTCTCTTTCCTTGATGGATCTTCAGGTACCTTTGAAGAAGAAAGCAATGCCTCTCTCAGCCATTTCATAAGCGGCATCCACGTTGGACATGAGCTGGGGGAAGGAGCTGGTGATGGTGCTGGGCCGAATCCCTGCTGGCACATGCACCTGCCGTCTCCAGAAAATCCTGTTGGGCAGATGAAAGAAATCCACATCAAGGATTGCTTCAGATCTTAAATTGTACAAATATTAGGTACCAGAAGCCATATGCCAGAGAACATTGCTAAATCCTTATTACTGTTTGCTGTGTTTAAAATAATATACTTACTTTATGTTCATTATAAATTTAGTTATTTTTTTGTT